TACTACTACTACTAATACTACTACTAGTACTCCTACTGCTACTGCTACTGCTACTGCTACTGCTACTGCTACTGCTACTGCTACTGCTACTGCTACTGCTACTGCTACTCCTACTGCTACTGCTACTACTGCCACTTCCAGTACATCCAGGACTTGCACTAGTAGTGTTACGACAACAACAATATAGTTACTACAATTACAATTACAGCTGCAGCGACAAATGATAACTGCTACGATGAGCACAACTTCCCTATGTTCACTACCACTACCGCTACCACTACCACTGCAACTATCGCTATCTTAGTCGCTACGGTTCTTGTCTGCAGCCTGAGCGATAACTTGGAAAACACAGCAAGTACTGCTACTGCTACTCTTATGACGTCTAGGTCTACTAGTCTAGTGCTAGTACTAGTGCTAGTTCTAGCACTAGCACTCGCGCAGTGCTATACAAAGTATCAGTAGTACTACAGAAACTGCTACTGCTACTGCTGTCACTACCACTCCTACTGCTCCTAATACTCCTCCTACTCCTACTCCTACTTCCGCAACAACTACTACTGCTTCACTGCTTTTACTACTAGTAGAAACTTCTGTTGTTACTACTGCTGCTGCTGCTGCTACGACGCTGATACTGCTGGTATCTGCTGCTACTAGCAAGGCCCTGTGAGCTGGATGGCGTTGACTTGCCCTGTTGGAACTCTGGCGCCTGGCTCGGCGGCAGCCAGGCCGGGGTCTCATAGGATTTGCGAAGATCTGCGATGCTCACGCATCCAGAACAACGGCTTTGCTGATCTTTGTGAGGGTTGTGGGAAGTCGGTCTGTGGGATAAGTGCATGTTGTCCGCAATTTGAGGTAGCAAGGTCCAAGAGGAGCTTGGTTGAGGTTCTGTGGGCTTTAGGCCGATTTCCGAGGCGCCGAACCAACTCGGAGAAAGCCTCTGTCAAGATGCACACATGGCGCACGGGCACGGCATGAGGCATTCGGATACTCATATGCGGGCATTCCTCGACATAGTCACATAGTCATCACCTCCTGTAACGCCAGCAAATCTGTTGCTTTCCGCCTTCGTCGGCACAACATCATCATCGTCAAAGCCGGTCGCATCATCAGCATCATCGTCATCGTGCCTAGTCTTGTTGCTCGCAGCATCGTGCTACTACTGTTGTTAGCCTGTGATGATGACGATGATGATGATGGTGATGATGATGTTCCGGTCATGACGATCACGAGGACGGGGACGATTATGATGCTGATGTTGTTGATGATAGCTATGGTGCTGCATATGTCGTCCAGGCTACACCCTGATAAATACGCATCCCTACCGGCCACCTACTTCTTGTAGCGACCACCCGTACAGACACGGCAAGCCATCCGCAGGTGGTGGAGTGTGAGATGTCCTGTTTGCACCAGAAGAGAGCTGCTTGGATGTGAAGTGCGTCCACCTGGATTTCCTTCATGTCCTTTCCTTCGATTTGTTGCGCCAGAAGCGGTAGAGCCATTAGGCTGCAGAGGTGTGGAGCTGGAGCTTCGAGCCAAGGTGATGCAGCCGCAGTACTCTTGTACCGATTTTACCGGGGTAGCACCTCGGCTCGATGTGAACCCCCAAAGTCTACAACCCCCCATCGCCGCCTTTCAGGCCCCTTTGCCTCGGTTCCAGGCTTCGTATTGTTGGTTGGACTTGTCTTACTCTTCCAGAATCTTCTCAAGGCCGTCTACTAGTCACGGAGCCTTCCTTTAGCCCTGGGCCATGAAGGAGCATGTACTGATTCCGATCCTGTTTCTGGCTCTTCTGGTACGACGACGGTACAGGTGATGATTTCATCATCTTGGCAATACCGACAGCCACGACAAGGGCTCAAAGCAACACGTGGCAAGAGAAAAAATCACATCATCCCATCACCAACCACCAACATCGACGAAGACGACAGGAAGCGTCACAGCTAGGGCTTCCTTTGTTGCTGCTACTGCTTTGCGCTACTTTTCAGGGCTTGCAGCACCGGCCTTGGGGATCCAGGCCCATGCTTCAAGGCCATCGTCTTAGAATCTCGCATGTTGTATGCCACGCTACATCCCACAGCCTAAACCTTCAACCCCCTGAAGCCTAAGCCCCCCCGAAACCCCCGGGAAACCCCTTCTCTGCCACAACGAAGACGTGCCCGTTTGGAGGACAGCCAGACCTCCTGTTTCAGCCGTGGAGATGAGACCAACTCCAGGTTCCGAGATGAGGGTGAGAAAATTGGGATTCGGCTCCTGGGGTTCACATGCGCCAAAAAGCGGCTAAGGCTGATTTTGGTCTTCCAGTTATAGGCTTGGAAGAAAGCAGGTTCTGAGGTGTCGAGTCTTCGCAGTTGCCGGGCTGGCTCTTTGCCGAATCCCAAATGCCACAGGTGCATGTTCATCACGTACAAGGACCGGGAACTGCGGGCAAGTGCTTCGCATGCAAGGTGATTAAGGTGATTGACCGTGTCGCCGCAGGGCATGACCAGCTTCCTAAAGGAATGCAGTAATGCTCCTGTGGATCCTGCCATGTCGTCGGATGGGGATGTGGGCTCGGCGGACTGGGAGGAGGACGAGGGCCAGTGCGGCTCAGTTATCGGCCGCACCAGCAGTGAGTTGAGCTTGGTTCTGGATGCCGAGCGCCTACGTGGTGTTCCCCTGCATTGGGCAATCCAACGGCGGCACTGGAGGAACGTGGAAGGCGAGGTGAGGGCGACCACGGCGAAGAACTACATCGAGTTGAGTCGTCCAGTAAAGGCACTAGACGCCTTCGTAAGCCACGATTGGGCTTCAAGTGGTTTAATGAAAGTCCTGTCGTTGCTGATCATCTACAACTCCGGTGCTGCATTTTGCACCAGCCTCATTGTCAGTATCCTTATCGGAGTCTTACGGGGCTGTGGCTGGCTGCCCAACGAGCACTGGACGGTGGTCTTCGGATTGTCCTCCTTCTTCATCGTCTTTGGTTTTTGGCCGCAGCTTCGGAGGCCCTTCCTTCGCCCGACCATGGTGTTCGTAGACAGGCTGTGCATTGCGCAGCATGACGCCTGCTTGAAAAGGGACGGTATCATGGGAATGCCAGCCTTCCTTCTGAACTCAGAGGATCTCATCATCCTGTTCACATCGAATTACTGCAAGCGATTATGGTGTTGCTTCGAGATGTGTACGTTCTTGAAGGATGTGCCGAGGCAGAGGAAGATGCTGTTCATGCCCTTGATCACAGCTCAACTCCTTTGTTTGTCTTCCGGGATCTGGTTTCTCTTGGTCATTGGCTGGAATGTACTCTATCACGAGTTCGTTTCTCCCGCGGGGGAGATCAAGTCAGGGCAGAGCTCGCTGACAACCGGCATGGTGCTCAATGGCCTGATGCTGCTGGTGGCTGCTGCAGCCGTTCTACCACTCTTCTCTCTGGGCATCGAGCTGATCGCGGAACTGGATGAAGCAGTCGGGCAGCTCGCAGCATTTTCGGTGCAGGACGCTCACTGCTTCTGCTGCTCCAACAACCACCGGCATCCGAGCACCGGAGCGCAGCTGCCATGTGACAGGCAGATGATGTACAGCATGCTGAGCAGGTGGCATGGCCTCGAGCGAGAAGACTTGGAGTCTGACCCTATTCATCTCGAGAAGTTTAATCAAAAGATCCGCAAAGAGCTGGCTCCACGCGTTGCAGCGATGGCACGTGGGTTTGCCGTGCCCGGGAACTACACATTGTACATGGTCGGTGCGAGCAGTGTTCCATACATTGCAGACCCCATCGCGACGTGGATTGCAGCTTACAACTCTGATGCTGGCCTTTCTGGTTATGCTTTCTTCGTTTGGAGCTTGCGAGTGGCAACGCGCTGGGGCACAGTGGCAGTGTCCAGCCTGTTGGCGGTTAAGATATCCTTGCCGCTTTGGAAGCTTGGCCGCCGGATGCGCTGGAAAGACTCGAAACAGGTCCGTTGGCTCATCGTGCTCTTGACCTCCACTCTGGTACTCGTTTTTACCTCACTGGTCTGGGGATCCGTTTTCTTCTCGTTGAGAAACACCGCAGACGATCAACTGCTTCCGGTGCTTCTTCTTCTATTCTGGTGTCTGTGCGCTTGTGGACTCCACTGTAAATTCTCAGCCATCACGCGCTTTCATGGCAGTGATGAGCAGGCATCGCACACCCTTAGCTTTTGAATTCGGTTTCTGCACCTGCTTACAATTCGTTTTTCTGCAACAATCTTCTCAGCCGTTGTATAAGCAGCGAAATGCTGGTCTTTCCACCCAACAGGTAGTTAGTCCATGCTCACCTTCGCCACAGACGCGGCGAAGGTGACGACTGCGGAGCAGAGAGAAGACTTGCACATTTATGAGCGCTTGAAGAGGCGATTATTGCAATTATAGACTGGGTTGTAGTTGGTGATTATTATTCTGCCGACTGTAGCTGGGCACCGCCGGCAGCTGACCACGCAGCAGCTACAGTGCAGCCTTTTTGGTGAGTTGAATGTGTCCGAAAGCCTCTGGTTTGTGCACACCGCTTGACTGGATGTTCTTTCCTGAGGATCAGTCGGGAGCCACCAAGTCATCTTGTGCTCCCTGTGAACTGGCGGGTATTGGGAACATCGACTGCCCGGCGATGGGTGGTAAAGGCAAGGGCAAAGCTCGCTGAGTGTCAGAAGAGGCGTTGAGGTTGGCAAAGGCGTGGTGCGAGGCAGGCACGGTGGTTCGGGTTGAACTCCATTGAACTCCTGACACCTTCACATTTTTTGACGCTGTTGTCGTTATTTGGGGCAGGTCCGGAGGACAACTCAACCGTTGCCGCCTGCGCCAGCCAGTGTGACGCCTTGCATGCATTCAGTAGTAGTAGTAGTAGTAGTAGTAGGAGGAGGAGGAGGAGGCAAGAGCGACAGTACAATGTACATGAAGAGATGACAATAAATGGGTCACGCATACCAGTGTAACATAACAAATCGCTAATAAAGATTTTGGTGATACTTGTATTGTTGCAACATTCACGTTCAGAATTGTGCAGAGCACCGACAAGTCGAAAGTTAATAGCAGTGAGCCTCACCATCGGCATTGCCCATCGTTGCTATTCGATGGTTCGATTCGTTATTGCGTTCGCAGTGACAAGAATTTCAACTGCATTTCATCTTCTTCTTCTCCTTCTTCTTCGTCTTCTTGCCTTCGTTGTTCGTCGATGTTGCAGCGTTATGGTGATATCTGTCGGGTTATTGTGACTTGTTTTCGTTGCTGCTGCGGCTACCCTGCTGCCGGTGCTGCTGTTGCTGCTGCTGCAAGCGGCTATTGCTGCAGCTGGGGTGCTTGTTTATCTGCAGTTTATGGTGAGGAGACATGGGTGCATGCATAACTAGATGTTCTCTGTACCCACCTGCGATTCTGCCGCGTCTCAACTTCACTAGTAGTTTTGTCTCCTGATCTAATCAGGATTATTGTCATGGTTGCTATCAATAGCTTTATAGTTCTTACCATTATTTGTGACGTTATTGTGCTTTGAACAGTATCATTGTTGCGGTTACCCAACCCTAAACCCCAAATCCTAA